CAGGGAACAAAGAATACCCCCTCCAGTTTGAACATGTCTGTCAAGCCTAGCAGCTCAATCTCAACTTCCTCATACAGCAAAAAAAAAACTGGTATGAGCATGATATTTACCAGAATGGATAAGCCTATAGATGTGGATTGACTCAAAAAGAAGGGTAAGTGCTTTAATTGTGGCCAGAAGGGCTATATGGCACAGGACTATCTGTGGAAGAAGAACAAGCATACTCAGGAGGACCTCTGGGCACTAATCACTGAGTTGCAGAAGGAAGAGGAAAACCTTGGATCAGAAATGAAGGTCAAGGAGGTAAAAAGCCAGGCCAAGCAGTGAGCAATTCTGCTGACAAGGCCAGAACAAAGAGTAGTGTGTCACAAGCAGACACTGGACAGACTGATTTTATCTCTGTAGTATCACCTATATCTAAATTATGCATGCATTTGAATATATTTGACTCTACCACTCAAATCCAAGAATCACCTAAGAAAGAAACTCAACTGTCTATAGGCTGAACAGAGGTAGTGAGCCCCACTAATTGGCTCAAGCCATTCAACACTGAATGGACTTGGCAAGCCATCAAGGACATGAAGGATAAAGCCACAGCAAAAGCTATGCTCAGGAACTGGGTTCACAAAATCCAAGCTGAAGAGATGGTAGACAAAGTGATAGAAGGAATGAAGAAGGCAGAACACTATTAAGCCCTGAAGTGGCTTGACAAACTCCAGAGACCATGGAAATTTATCTGGCAATCCAAAACCCCAGGCTGAGACCTCCTGGCCAAAGCCCAAATTGAGACACTCATGTCTCAAAGCACCTATGTGGTCACTGCATTAATCAACAGTGAGTGCACTAGCAGCTCCATCAATCATGCTTTCATCACCAAGCACAATCTTTCTACCCAGACTACAGCAGCTCCAATCCTGGTCTACAATGCAGATGGAACTAAGAACTAAGCTGGTTTGATTACTGAGTTCATCAAGCTCAGGCTCACAATTGGTAATCATTTTGAAAGAATCAACTTGGCTGTTACTGATCTGGAGATCAAGGAAATCTTTCTTGGTCATGACTAGCTAATTTAGTATAACCCACTGATCAACTGAAAGACCAGTCGAATCATATTTGCCTGATGCTAATGCTGGAAGATCCCATTCAAACTGCCTAATGAAGACTCTGAAGACCAGTGAGATGAGAAGATGGAGGACAGCAAGATGATTCTTGCCATGGATCTGCAGAAAGCCATTCATGTTCATGCTATGCACTATGCCAATAACTTAGCCATGAAAGCCAATGCAGAAAAAGAGAGCAAGATATTTGAAGAGATAGTGCCTGATTGGACATGAAACTATCAGGATCTGTTCAAAAAAAAGAGCTTTGACAAACTGCCTGATCTAAAACCATAGGATCATGGGATTGAGCTGATTCTAAACACTAATGCTAATTTGGACTGTAAGGTGTATCCACTTAGCAATAATGAGCAATAAGAGCTCAATCAGTTTCTGGAAGAGAACCTCTCCAGTGGATGAATTAGGCCATTGAAGTCTCTGATGGCCTCTCCTTTCTTCTTCATCAAGAAGAAAGATGGCAAACTCTGACTGGTACAGAATTACTGGAAGCTTAATGAGATGACAATTAAAAACTGTTATCTGCTTCTGCTGATCTCCAAATTAATAGACAAACTTCATGGTGCCCAGTACTACACTAAGTTAGATGTCTGTTGGGGTTACAATAATGTGTGTATCAAAGAAGGCAATGAATAGAAGGCCACTTTCTGCATTAACTGAGAGCTGTTCCAGCTCACAGTTATGTTCTTTGGCCTCACCAATTCACCAGCAACCTTCCAATAGATGATAAACAATATATTCAAGGACCTCATCACAACTGGAAAGATTATGATCTATTTGAATGACATTCTCATCATATCCAAGACCAAGCAGGAACACCAAGTGCTAGTACAATGAGTACTGACCCTTATGAGGAAACACCCACTATTTCTCAAGGCTGAGAAATGTAAATTTGAGGTGCTTGAGACCAAGTACCTCAGAGTCATTATCAGCAAAGGAAGCATCAGAATAGACTCTGTCAAAGTAGCAGGAGTGACCAAATGGCTGGAGCTGACCAAAAAGAAGGAATTACAATTCTTCCTCAGCTTCATGAACTTCTACTGATAGTTCATTCAGGACTACAGCAAGGTGATCCAACTAATGACTCAGCTGACTGGCAATGCACCATGGACCTAAGGCCTATCTCAACAGTCAGCATTTAATGACCTCAAGTGTCAACTAGCAGAAGATGTAATCTTGACTATTTCAATCCAAGACAGAAAGTTCCATGTTGAAGCCAACTCAAGCAAAGGTGCCATCAGCACTGTCCTCTCTCAAGAGCAAGAAGGTAAATGGCATCCAGTTGCATTCCTCTCCAAAGCACTAACCATTATAGAGCACAACTATGAAATATGTGATAAGGAGTTGCTCACTATAATGCTTGTCCTGGCTGAATGGCAACATTACTTAATTAGAGTGGTCCAGACCTTTGAGATCTAGACTAATCACCAGAATCTCTGGTACTTCTGAGTATCACAGAAGTTGAACTGCCAACAAGCTCAGTGGGTTATGGAACTATTGGAGTATGACTATACACTGCACCACAAAGCTGGTGCAGCCAACAAGAAAGCAGATTTGCTCAGCAGGAGAGCAGATCATGACCAAGGAGGAGATGACAATGAGGGAGTTGTGATTCTGAGACCAGAGCACTTTCATGCAATGATCATGCTGATGAAAGAGGAGATTCATGAATGCATCAAGAGTGCTACACAAGACACCTGCAAATGGAACCAATGCATAGCTCCGTCACTCAACCATGAGTGAGGGATGAAAAAGGAAGAAGAGATGATCTGCTATGACAGGTGGATCTATATTTCCAGAGACCAGACACTTTATAGTGAGATAATTGCTATCTGCCACAACCATGTGACTGCTGGACATCTGGGGATCACCAAAATGAAGGAATTAGTACTCCAGGAATATTGGTGGCCCAAAATAGGCCAAGATATAGAATGATACATCAAAGTATGTGAAACCTGTCAACAGGGCAAGTCCTTGACACAGACCTGTGCCACACCCTTCCACTCTAATGAGATCTCATCATCATCATAGACTCACATTTTAGTGGATATGATCATCAGATTACTGGATTACAATGACTATGATACAATTCTCATTATAGCTGATTGCTTCTCCAAAGCAATCATTCCAGTTGTGTGCTCTACTGAGCTAACTTCCAAAGGATGAGTGAAGGTCTTATGTGATAAAGTATATGCTAAATACAGTATACCTCAAGTCATTATTTCAGACAAGAGACCATAATTTGTATCCAAATTCTTGGATGATTTGTATCATCTCCTCAACATCAAGCATAATGCATTGACTGCCTATCATCCCCAGACAGACAGTCAGATAGAATGAATAAACTAAGAGGTGGAGAAATACCTCTGCCTCTTCATCAATTATCTGTTAGACTCAAGTGTCATGTGAACAAAAACATGTGATAGACAGAAGTCTCCTCACACTTTAGGAGATCAGCTGAATCCACTGATGCATATTTTGATCATTGTGTCACAAGATTTTAGGATTAGCTCAAGTATAAAATGGTGTAGAGTAAACTTTAGCTTGAAGCTGGAGATTACCAGCAAGAGTGAGCCTGTTTAAATACTGTTACAGTTCATAACTAATTATACTCCTTTCTATTATACATTGTCAAGTTCTTCATGCTCATTGTCCTTGGGTGTTGCTACTGTACATAAAAGCTTATTATATGTCATCAGGCAATGCTGTCATATCAAGAGACAATGATCAAACAGATTTATTGTGCTGACTAAGCCTGTCCTACAGCCTCAAGTGCTTGGTTTAGATGCTCTGACTAAGCATAAATAGGGGTCAAAGGTAAAAAATAAGAAATAAAGTGGAAAAATTATAACATTATCCACTTGTTAAGACCATCATTCTGATAGTTTAATTTAGAGATAATTTATAGTCTCAGATTGCATTAGTAGCATCCATCTGTTTTTTATTTACCCATTGGTTCAATTTTGGTCTGTACTCTTTCCAACTAACCAAGTAATCCACTGTCATTGTCATGCCACTATTTCTTACCTTAATTTTTCATAGTTTATAATTGAGTATCTGATCAATTTCATAGTGCTCCTCATCATTGATCAGATCAGATGGCAGTAGTAGAGGTCATTCTTGGTTAAAGAATATTGATGCAATATATAGTGTTAGTAGTGTCTCATTAAAGACATTATGGACCTTTCAGTTCATGAGTAATTGAAGTCAGTATGTAGAGATGCTGATTTTGGCCAGAACCAGAAAAGATCCCATTCATTTATCAGTCAGCTTTTGTTTAGGCTGAGATAGATGAAAATTAGTCATATCCAGCCACACTTTACTGTTGACTGAATACTCACATGCTGGATGACAATGTTTATCATATTGCTTTTTTATGATTATAGCAGTCTTCTTAAGGGCCACTTTTGTTTTATTATGGATTTTTGCCATTATAGTGTGTTGGAAATCCTTGGTGTTGTGCAGAGCAGACTCCAGGCTAGTAAGGCCAGATGGTATGAACTTATTATTCTGCAGCTTCTACAGAGCTTGTATTTATACTCTCCAGGCTTGTATCTAGAATTTACTACAACTTTCCTCTTTCTCTCAGACTTACTCATCAACTCTCAGCATGATGCTGGATTGCCCTTTCTAGAACTTTCCAGCAAAATCCCAACACTCCTCTTCAATATGGCATCCTGCCACAATATTTCAGAATATCCTAATATATCCTAAAATATCCTAATATCCCAAGTCTCCTCTTGAAACTTAAAATAGTCTGAAAATTCCCAATTATATCCTAAGACTTGTGACCATTCTCTATCCTCACCCATGCTGCAGGAGCCCCAAATGCTACTTACAGTCAGCTGATCCCAATATCAAGCTAGCTGGACCCAGTCTAAACCACAGCAGAAACACATTCCTACCAAGGGGCTAAGGGAATTCACAAAGATATAACCGATTTTCCACCAAAGTTGCCTCAAAAGATATATTCCATTTCTTCATCATCACTCTGCATAATGTTTGCAGCATCAGCACTGTTGTTCCATTTTGTGTGCTCTGGGCAACTACAACTAATATGGCCAGTCTTGCTACATATGTAACATCTGATATTCTGCTTTGGACTGCTTGATCCCTTTGATCATGTGATCAGAGCCATTGTACCATGTGTGCCACCCCTCCTTTCTTCTTCATCAATCAGAGCATTTGTCACTGTAGCTAATGCATTTGGCTTATCATTTCCTACACATAGTGAGGCTGCAATGTTTGACTATTCTTCATCTAGGTTGAAAATGAGCACATCAACTATATCTGTATCATCCAACTTGACTCTAATAGCTCTCAACCTTCCAGCAAGACTTGTGATTCCACTTATGTAATTGTGAATTGGCCTGTTTGAATCATGCTCAAAGCCATAAAATTGATGTTTCAGGGCAATGTGATTAGCTCAGCTGTTTTTCTTATAAATGTCCACAAGAGCCTTCCATGCTTTGACACTATCTGAGCAATTCTCAATATATTGATACTGGCTTGTGTCAACAGTCAGACCAATAGTAATGAGTGCTTGATCTAGCTTGGAAGCTTTGTCCTTGTCATCCTTTTCTTCAGATCTTGTTTTCTTCTAGAATGCAGGTTTGGATTCATCAAGCTTGTCCAATAGTATATCCCATGCACCTGTCCTTTGGAGTACCATTGAAATTGCAAATTTCCATGAATGGTAATTGTCTCCTGTCAATTTTGAGACAGAGCCCAGAAGACTATTGGTCATGCTGCTCATAGTAGGTAATGAATGAGAGCAAATTTAAGAAGTTGAGATACTATAATCAGAGTCTAATCATGCCCGAGCCCATAACCTGTTGGAAATCCTCAGTGTTGTGCAGGGTAGACTCCAGGCTGGTAAGGCCAGATGGTATAAACTTATTATTCTGCAGCTCCTACAGAGCTCATATTTATACTCTCCAGACTTGTATCTAGAATTTACTACAACTTTCCTCTTTCTCTTAGGCTTACTCATCAACTCTTGGCATGATGCCAGATTGCCCTTTCTAGAACTTTCCAGCAAAATCCCAACATAGTGGCAAAGTCAGTCGAGGTGGGGGTTGATATATGTGTTCACTCAGTTTTGGCCATGTTAGAGTGTCAGCTATAGTTGACAAAGAAAGGAGTTTTGCCAGTGGATGAATGAATTCAATTATTATGTTGGAAGACAGCAAGAGCCAGCCATTCCATTCAGTCATCTTGGCAATAGTTGATAAAGAGGTGGAGGTACTTCTCTACCTCTTAGTTTGCTTGCTCCATCTGTCTATCTGTCTGAGAGTGATAGACAGTGAATGTGTTTCACTTGATATTCAGGAGATGGTATAAATTGTCAAAGAACTTTGAGATGAACTGGAGGTCTCAGTCAGAGATAATGACTTGAGGTATATCATATTTGGTGTATACCTCATTGTGCAGGATTTTTGCCCATTCTTCTGATGTGAGTTTGGTGAAACAGGTGATCAGAATGATTGTCTTGGAGAAACAGTTGACTATGATGATAATAGTATCATAGCCATTGCAATCAGGCAGTCTCATAATCATATCTACAGAGATATGAGTCCAGGGCACTTGTGGAACTTCATTGGGGTGTAGAGGTGTGGTCCAGGCTTGGGTTGAGGATTTCTCTCATTGGCAGATCTCACAGGCTTTAATATACTGCTCAACATCTTGTCCCAGTTTCAGTCATCAATATTCTTGCAATACCAATTCTTTGGTTTTGGCAATTCCAGGATGTCTCACAGTCACATGATTATGACATACAGCAATAATCTCACCATGTAGTATGTGATCTCAGAAGATATAGATTCTCTCATCATATTGGATTATTCCCTCTTTCTTTATTATACTTTATTCATGATTCAAAGATAGAGTCATATGCTGGTCCTATTTACTGATGTCTCTAGTGATGCTTTTGATTCATTCATGAATTTCATCTTCTGTGAGCATGATCATTGCTCTGAAGTGTTCCAGATGTATGAGCACCATCTCCTTATTGCTGTGTTCCCCCTGATCATAATCAGCCTGGTGACTAAGTAGATCCACTTTCTTGTTTGCTGTTCCAGCCTTATGGTGTAGAGTGTACTGGTATTGGCTCAGCTCAGTAACCCATCATGCTTGCTAGTGATTTAATTTTTACAGTTGCTAAAAGTAATGTAAGTTCTGATGGTTGGTCTAGATTTCAAATGTTTGGGCCATGCTGATCAAATAGTGCCTCCACTCTTTGAAGGCTAGTATGATGGCTAGGAGCTCCTTATCATAGATCTCATAATTCCTTTTCATGACAAATAGAGCTTTTGAGAAAAATGCTATGGGTCACCATCTCCCATTTTGTTCCTGGAAGAGCACAATGCCAATGGCCCTCTTGCTGGGATTAGCTTCAATCCAGAATCTTCCTTTCTGTGTTGGTATCATGAGTATAACATCTTTGGCCAGTTGCTATTTAAGGTTGTCAAAGACAAGTTGTTGGAATAGGCTTCATATCCATGGGGCATTCCCTGTAAGTTGTATCATAGGTCAGATGATCTTGCTATAATCCTGAATGAATCATCAGTAGAAATTTGTGAAGCCCAAGAAGGATTGGAGCTCCTTTTTTTTGATGGGCTCTGGCCATTTGGTGACTCCAGCTACTTTGATGGGGTCCATCCATATGCTCTCTCCACTGATAATGACTTTCAAATACTCAGTCTTGAGTACTTTGAACTCACACTTCTCTGCTTTGAGAAACAGTTTGTGCTTCCTCATCAGTGCCAGCACCTGGCACACCAGCCTTCTATGCTCCTCTTTTGTTTTGAACATGATCAAAATATCATTAAAATAGATAGTTACCTTTCTAGTGACAATGAGGTCCTTGAAGATATTGTTCATCATCTACTGAAAGGTCATGGATGAATTGGTAAGCCCAAAGAATATAACCATTGGTTCAAACAGCCTATGATTGATTCAGAATGCAGCCTTCCATTCATCTCCTTCCTTGATTTGTATGTTATTATACTCCCATCAGACATCAAGCTTTGTATAGTATTTGGTGCCTCTAAGTTTGTCTATTAATTCTGAGATTAACAGAAGAGGGTAGTGATTTTTGATTGTCATCTCATTAAGCTTTTGGTAATCTTGAACCAGCTGAAGCTTGCCATCTTTCTTTTTAATAAAGAAGAAAGAGGATGCTATGGGAGACTTTGATAGCCATATCCTCTCACTGGATAAGTTCTCTTCAAGAAACTTGTCAAGTTCTTATTGTTTGTTGTGTCTGAGTGGGTAGATTTTACAGTCAAGGTTGATGTTGGCATTGAGAGTCAACTCAATAGCATGATCTCAGGGTTTTAGTTTCAGGAGTTCATTGAAGCTTTCCTTCTTGAAAAGGTCCTTATAGTCTCATGCTCACTCTGGTATTATCTCTTCAAATATCTTTTTCCCCTTCTGCTCATAGACTTTGATGGCTAGATTGTTGGCATGATGTACTGCCTGGAGGTGTGCCTCCCATTATATGTTGATGGCAAGGATGGTTTCTCCATCTTCCATCTCCTCATCCCATTGATTGTCAGGGTCCTCATCAGATAGTTTGAATGATAACTTTCAGCATTTACACTGGTGAATGTTACCTTTCCAGTTTTCCAGTTAATCAGCAGGCTATGTCTGATTAACCAGTCATGTCTGAGAAAGACTTCCTTCATGCCAAGGTCTGTTATAGCCAGATTAATCCTTTCAGAGTGATCTCCAATCAGAAATCATAGCTCTACAAACTTGGTGATCAAGCCAGCTTGATTCTTTGTGCCATCAGCATTGTAAACTAATATAAGGGTGGCTGTGGCTCTGATCAGAAGATGGTGCTTGTCAATGAATGCATGATTGATCAAACTTCTAGTATAGCCACTGTCTACCAGGATGATTACCAAGTGATTAGCTTGGTTAGTCAGGGTTTTGATTTGAGCCTTGATAATAAGATCTCATCTCATGGTCTTGGCATGGCAGATATATCTTTTTGATCCATGTAGTTCATTGAGCCATTTCAGAGCTTGGCACCATTCTGCTTCCTTTAGTCTCTTGATCATCTCATTGATGACTTCTTTTACACAGATTCCATGTACTCAATTATTGAGTATGGCTTTTGCAGCTTCTTTTGTTGTGGCATCCCAAATGGCTTGAGCCATTTATTAGAGGTCTCTCTCCCTATTCAGCCTGAGAGTGCTTGAGTTTCTTTTTGCAATTCTTTGGTGTGTGAGGCAGATAGTCAGGGTATATTTGAATGTGTGTATAAGTTAGATATAGAAGTAACTACAGAGATACTGTCAGTCTGACTAGCAGCTGTAATTTGCACACCATGAAGTCCTTTGGCTGATCCAGTGGAATCACTCACTGGTCAGCCCTGTCTTTTATCTCCTCCATCTTTGTCTTCATGCTAAGTTCTTCTTCTTTCTGAAGTTTGGCAATCTGTGCCTATATATCTTTTTGGGTTTGCTTCTTCTTCAGGCAGTCCTTTGCCATGTGGTCTTTCTAGCCACAGTTGAAACATTTGCTCTCCTTCTTCATCTGGTCTATATCTATGGGCTTCCCTGCTCTGGTATATATTGTTCCAGTTCCTGTCTTCTGCATGCTATAGATTGGGGCCATCAAGGTTTCTGATGGTTTTCTGGCAGTTATCCCTGACAATTTGTTCAGAGTTGATGAGGTCAGTTTTTTCATGTAATCTTGCAGTATCAACTGTTCCACTTTTTACCTTTGCTACTTCTTGTACATCTCGATGATTTGCTCTTTCCATTCATCACATCCCACTGGCATCAGTGCTTTGATGCTAATAGCAGAGATTATTGTCATGTACAAGGAGAGAATGCCTCTCTTGAGGGCCTTGATCATTCATCCATCATTAGCTATATCATCCTGAATTCTGGCAAGCTTTGTGAGTCACTCTAGCTCATCAAAATAGTCCATTGCTGTCTTATCACCCATTTTGTACTTCTTGATCTCCTGTTTGTGAACTTCTTGTATGACAGAATTGATGAACTTGTTATAGAGTATTTGTTTAAATACTGACTATGATGGATACTGATAGTGCCCATGCATTGTCAATCAAAAATTGAGTGAGATCAGGATTCACTATGTTTTTACCTTTTCCTCAAGATAGGAGACAGCAAATACTATGCAGTTCATATCAGTCCTAAGATACCCAATGTACATCTCAAAATATTGTTCACAATCAATCAGAAAGCAGTCAATGTCATCTGATGCTTCTTTAAAGGGTCATGGCTTCCTAAGTAGGTCAGGTTTGCACTGTAGCATGGTGGTATTTTTAGGGAGGACACCCATTGGATTAGGCCAGTCCTCAAAGGAGGAGTGCCTCTATTTGACAAGAGGTTCAGGAAAGAAGTGAAGTGAGTTGTCATCAGCAACTGGATTTCTCCAGAGAACTTCCTCTTTTTATACTATTACTCTGTCATAAATGGTAAACTCTAGCTGGATGGCTTCTGGATTGTCTTGAATCAGTTTCTTCCCAGCATCACTTCCTGTGGCCTCATCTGGGGGTGGTTGAGTGGCTAGAAGTTGGCTTCTGGCTTCTGTCTATAGGTTTTGATAGTCAGAAAGCTGAGTGTTCAGCTATACTCAGGAACACATTAGCCAGGTTGTCAAGTGTTGCACCAATGAGGTTGAGTCTGAATAATGACTTTGGATAGATGATGCCATATAAATAGCATATCTTAGTGTGACAGACAGTGACTAAGGCATTGATCAGACTTTAGGTGGTGACTGGTAGGCTGGTAACTGGCTGAGTCAATCTTCTGGGTGGTAATGACTGTAGGTTTCTGCTGCATAGATAGTTGTGGCATGTCTTAATATCTTCTGTCATTCAGATGGTTCAGCAATATATAATTTTTCTAGTTCAGTTGACAACTAGTTGTCATTCCTCCACAGATACT